TATTACAATTATTTCTCACCGGCAGATTATTTGGCGTGCTAATTAATGTCTGCCCTCTTTTTCCCAGTTGAAGTGCGGCGCGTGTGGAGCCATTGGACACATGCGAACCAACAAGTTCTGCCCGCTGTACTATCAGACCAACGCCCCACCTTCAAACCCAGTCGCTATGACGGAGGAGCAGGAGGAGCAGCTGGAAAAGACGGTCATCCACAACGACAACGAGGAACTGATCAAGGTGGAAGGCACCAAGATCGTGCTGGGCAAGCAGCTCATTGAGAGGTAATTGATGGTTCCACGTCCTCTCTCTCCCGCCACTGCAAGGAAGAGCAGCTCATTTTGCTGCCAAGTCTTTCTAGCTTCTACCCCTCCTGCAGTTCCCAACGTTTCCTTTCTCCTACAGTGCGGATGAGGTGCGTCGAAAATCTTTAGTGCTCAAGTTCCCCAAGCAACAGCTGCCACCCAAGAAGAAGAGACGCGTAGGCAACGCGGTGCACTGCGACTACCTCAACGTAGGCAACGTTTCACAGCATGCCGTAAAACATTTTCAGCTGGGAGTCCCTCAAGCTCATCAGTCACTGTTTTTTTTAATTTTTATTTGGAACGTCCACAGAAACCACACAAGGCCATCCACCGCAGGCGCACTGACCCCATGGTGACCTTGTCCTCCGTGCTAGAGAGCATCATCAATGACATGCGGGATCACCCGAACGTAAGCTCTGCGGGGGCATCCACCTTTCACGGCTCGCCGTCACCTTCTTTATGCCGGTGCCGTGACATTGTTTTGACTTCTTCTGCCTCTTGCATCTAGACATATCCGTTCCACACACCGGTGAATGCCAAGGTTGTGAAGGACTACTACAAGATCATCACGCGGCCAATGGACCTGCAGACTCTGAGGGAGAACGTACGCAAGCGGATGTACCCATCGAGGGAGGAGTTCCGCGAAGCGGTGGAAGTTATCGTCAAGAACAGCGCCACCTACAATGGTAAAATATAAGAACGAGTTTAACGCTCTTTCTTGAAAACAGACTGGAATCTTCCGCTGGTTTTACATTGACGTGGGTTTGAATTCAAAGTCTAAGTGTTATAAGGCGACTCTCTGTTTTTCTTGCACTAGGGGCAAAACATCCAATAACTCAGGTAGCACAGTCCATGCTGGACCTGTGTGACACTAAGCTGAAAGAGGTGAGTGTTCATGTGAATATTTTGACGATTTAAATATCTTCTGACTTTGGCACATTTTCCCATTTTCCACTGAACCTCTTATTGGTGCGTGTGAGTGCAGAAGGAAGACAGGCTGGTGAGGCTGGAGAAAGCCATCAACCCCTTGCTGGATGATGACGATCAGGTGGCCTTCTCCTTCATCCTCGACAACATCGTGACCCAGAAGATGATGGTTGTTCCCGATGTGAGTCTCACTCCCATCAATAGGAGATCACTGATCAGTTCACATGCAGAGAAATGTAACGATCTCCTCCCTTCACTCCTCTCTTGACTACAGTCATGGCCCTTCCACCATCCGGTCAACAAAAAGTTTGTGCCCGATTATTATAAGGTGATCGTGTGCCCCATGGATCTCGAGGGCATCCGCAAGGTGAGAGTCACACAAACTGCCCTCATTCAATGGAATATTGGCAATACAAAAATAATAACAGTAACTGAGCCTCTTTTGTGTGTGTTTTTTAATTTCGTGGTTCTACAGTACATTTCCAAACACAAATACCAGAATCGAGATTCGTTCCTGTCAGACGTCAGTCTCATACACGCCAACAGTATCAAGTACAATGGTAATCGCTGTTGTTGTGACCTACAAGGTTTATCATTTTAATTAAGATGTCATTTGAAGCCCCATCACACCTTTCTCTGTGTGTTCTCCACAGGCCCAGAAAGTCCTTACACCAAAACCGCTCTGGATATTGTCAATGTCTGCAAGCAAACCTTGTCAGAGGTATGTTGAGTCTTTGCCTTTTACTTTGCCATTTATTAATGTCAGGGGGGGAAAGGTCACATGAGGGATTATTCATGCAGTGAATCACCATATTGTAAAAACAACTACAAAGCAATAAAAGCATATAAGAACATCTAATTAAAATAATACTTAATACTCCATCTAAAGAATAATTTACTATTTATTTAGAGTGTAGAATCCTACAACAACCTTGGAAAATAGTAAATACTGTGCTTCTTTTATTGAATGGCTGTTTTTGTGCCTCCAGTATGATGAGCACTTGACCCAGCTGGAGAAGGACATTTCTACGGCTAAAGAAGCCGCTCTGGATGCAGCCGACTTGGATGGCCTGGATCCGATGACCTCCGGGCCCTACACACCGCAGGTAGGAGAGCCGGAGCGGTGTTGTTTTTTTACCACCATGGTGAATGGTGGTTTCCCGGAGTTCTCGTTAACACTGACAAAAACCGCCAGGCCTCGAACCACGTATGAACGTTTCTTCGTGCTGTAGTCTCCTTTCCTCTCGTGGCCCTTGTATTTCTTTACCCGTTCTCTGCACTAACTCTCCTTTCCAGACTTTCACCTTTCATCTTTATGATCTAGTTTCTCCCACCCTGTTTTTCCTCCATTGTTCCTGCCATCTTGACCCGTCTCCCCCCTTTGTGTGTGCGCCGCCCTGTGTGGCGTTGGCCAGCCTGCTGATCTGTTTGACAGCGGGGCCTCAGGGAGTCTGCACAGAGAGACCAGCAGCCTTTTCTTTGAGGGACCTCTAGTGGTTTCTCCAGAGAAGAGAGGGGGGCAGGTACGGAGAGAGACAGAAATAAGGCTTTGCAACCTCACATGCCACCTCTCCTCAAACTACCCTCAGAGCACCCGGCTGGGGCTTTTGTTGTACCTACTCAAGTTCAAGTTGTCCCTCACACCAGAACATCATAGATAACATTACAGTATAAAGTGAGTGTAGTTATTTTGCTTCTTGGCTCTGTCTTTTGGCAAGAGATGTCAGACCTTTATCATGCTGCCCCTCAGGGTCGCCACGGCAGAAGACCCGGGGAGGAAGAGTCAGATGTGGACATTGAAGGCTTTGAGGAGGATGATGATGGCAAACCCAAAACTCCTGCTCCTGTAAGAAAGTCAGATTTATAAAAAAAGATTATTAGCTAACATGAGGTCACTGCGGCTGTGCATTTGTGCACAAAGCGTACCAACTAGCCAACACAATGGCATGACCAATTTCAGGTCACGTTATTATGTCGCCTAAAAATTTGAATCCGACAGAAGTATATACTTAGAAATCTGCTGTTTTCGTGGTTGTAGTTGGATGGCCTGGTTGCGTTGAAGTGGGGTATTCTTTTAATTAATGGTGTGTTATTACGTTTTCTCACTGTTTTAGAAGAAAATATATCCCTTTCCACGCCTTTATCTTCCCAAACATTTTCTTGTTCTAGTTGCTTTTTACAATTGTTCTTCATCTGTAAATGTATGTGTCCCATCTGTGTACTTCTTCATATATTTAACCAAGCCAAATTGTGTCTTCCCTGTCTCTTTCAGGCAGAGGATGCAGATGGAGACCTAGACGACGAAGATGATGAAGAGGACATGTTGCTGCCGCCTCGCAGACGGATGCAGGACCAGGAGGAGGAGGAAGAGGAGGACGACGGAATGTCTAGCCGTCCACCCCAAGCCAGCGTGCTGTACCAGGATCTGCTCATGTCTGACGGAGAGGATGATGCCAGTGAAGAGGAGGGCGACAACCCTTTCTCCTGTAAGTCTCACTGCAGCAAATGGTTTCAGCTTTTTACACGTAGGAATAAATTCATAAATACCAAAGAATAAGCGGTTTAATTCACATGAAAACAAAAAGATGTTAGAATAATGCATGAACTTAGCACAGAAGATAACATAATTAATGTGCTGAAACATTCAAATAATGCCCAAACCTTTTTTTAAATGTGTAAATCTGATGTTTGTTTTATGCGACATACCTGACACTGAGCAAAAACACAAATCCTTCTGTGTTGTTTTCTGTTCTAATTCCTCGTGTGTCTCCCTACAGCCATACAGCTGTCGGAGAGCGGGAGCGACTCTGACCGAGAATTGGATGTACGGCCTGCACCTCCACGCCGAGCGCAGGAGACGGCCCGCATGGGGATGGAGCAAGACGAGAGTATGATGTCATATGAAGGGGAAGGGCCGGATGAGCCTCACATGGAAGACAGCAACGTCAGGTACAACTTGCCTGGGACCCAATAATACTGAAAGTACTATAAGGATTTTTTTTCCCACTAGGCAAACACACCCATTAAGATTTAATAAAAATAGGCTTTTCTATTCAGTTTGTGTCAATTAACCGCAGTAGTAAACCAAATGAAAGTCTTGTAACTGTTCCAACAATCGACGACTGGTTGGAAGAGTTCAAAAGCGGATTGTAGTCCTGGTTTTGTGTTTATAAATGAAAACGTATGTGGGCTTCCTGTTTGACTTCTCTCTCTTCTGTCTCAGTTACGGCAGCTACGAGGAGACGGGGAGCCAGAGTCAGTTGCAGCCCATTAGCTTGGGAAACGGAGAAGACTACGCCATCAGCGAAGAGGAGGAGGAAGATGAGGAAGATGAAGCACGGAGGAGAGGCCCGGCGGTTCTGTCCAAGCTCCAGCTCAGCGAAGACGAGGAGAGTGAGGAGTTCCGATCCATAGGGGGAGACAGCGATATGGACTCGGACAACTAGGGTTTTATCCACAGTATTAAGAAAACATTGTTTATAATTACAGTTTTTAAATGGAAAAGGAAAAACCTTTTGTACATACTTATTTTGTAAATGATGGTTACTTTTGAAAGCGGCTCATTGTAAATCTCAGTTTGTCTTTTCTGTGTTCAATCAAGCACCGCGATGTTTGATGACATGGAAGAACGTGTACAGATGTTTTTACTGGTTTAACTCCCGAGTAGTTCAGAAACTGCTTTTCCAGTATCATTTCCAATTGAAAAACAGAATAAACACACTGAAGTCATCCGAGCTCTTTCTCCTTCAAAAAAAGAATCATCAAATTCTGTGTTCAGACTGGCAGCAAAGTTTAATAAAACATGTTTTATTTCTCTGTTGAGATTCACCACTAGTGACACAATAAGTTTACTAAAACATTAAAGCACTTCACGATGTCGGGGGAGAATTTGTTGAGTTGCATATATTGAGTGTCTCAACAACTCTTATGTGACCGACACATGCTTAGTGTGCAGTTGAGGTAAGAGATGAAACTTATACGATTAGTGGTAAAAACCTGACCGGGTGGCCTATTTGGTTAATAAATCAGGGCAGATATTCTGACATGGCTTCACAGGAAAAAGCACTGGTGTACGGTACAAAGGTTATCAATGGCGACACCAAGCTGCTCTGCTGGTGAACAGACTCTTAAATGAAGTCCCACGCATTCTGCGCGGACCACATCTGAGGATCTAAAGTTAGAAGATGTTGAGCTAAGCCACCGGATAAACATGCCGTACAGTGACATCACTGAACATTTCTTTTGTGTGGCATGTCAATGTTTCTCATTCAGGCACAAATAGCAGACTAGAGATCAAAGACAGCTCAACAAATACAGACTTTTGATGGATTTGATGCGAGTCAAAGAAAGGTTTTAGACTAACGCAAAGTAAACATCATTTCACATCAACCCATGACACAGTATGTATTAAAAAGAAACCAACTCACACCTATTTCTTGGTAGACAAGACGCTTCCTGTCACCTGTTTGGTTCCTCGTACATTATGCCAAACTGCAAACTTCCTGTACTGACAACACCCTGTTTAGTAATCCACCGCACTCGAGTGAGGTTTGAGCAAACTTACACATTCACAACAGCATTTCTATCTGCCAGAGTGACCTTTAAGCTAAACTTACTAAACTTTGTAGTTCTCATGTACTCGTGTCCTGCACTGTACATACGGATAGTCTGAGCACTGATGGGTGGAATTATCTCCACAACACACAAAGAGCTTCTGACATCTTTACATTCCTCACCTTTAGAATAGTTAACAATACTTTTTGTTCCAACACTGTTGCAGGTGTTCTTGATCAATTACAGACCTGCTGGATCTGTCACATGATGCCCACAGCTACACATTCTTGGGTCGTAATCTGCAATTGGTTTCAACTAATGAAGATTCTGATCCCAGCCCAAAAGATGGGCCCTCACCCAGAGGAACATGCCTCACTATTAACAATTCTGATAAAGACATTAATCATAACCTAAAGCTATGTTTATGATCATGCAGCATGTGAATATGACAGGAAAGTCTTAATGTTTTATTTCTACCTCATTATAAAGTCACTGTGAACATTTCATTTCCAAGTGAAAGGAACATTTCTGCCCCGAGCTACGCTGGTCGACCGGTTCGGTGATGCAAAAACGCGTCTGTGATCAGGCCGGTGCCCCTTGGCGGGGGTCGGAATCCTGCAGGGGCTGAGAGACTGAGACCTCAGCGCCACCCCCGACCCGTCTGAGGATTCTCTCACTGAGTGCAACCGCCTGTTGTGCTTCACGGGCGCTGCAGAACGGGACGGAGATCGGCAAGATGGTGCAACTGAGAAAAAAAATGCAGGACCACATTTTCACTTCTTGCACATAGCACCTATAAGGAATTCTAACTGCGATTATCTTGGTATTCTCTAATGGGAGTGAACAGACCTGATGGTGGGTACGCGATGGGGTCAGCGAGGTGGCAGTCGTCAGTGTCCAGGCTTCTGCTGTTCCTCACGGCCTGCAGGGAGCGGAGGCTGGTACCCAGAGGCCACCTGGTCCTGCCCGTTGACGCCGCTGCAGAACACGACAGGGTCATGTCTAGTTCACACACACGCACACATTTAGGTAAAACTGCTGTTGGTATGCTGCTAATGACAATATATTCTAAATGTGTGGCTGTCACAGCAGAAACTAGATAATGTAGAGGAACTGCTGTGGACCTTGATTCTGAGCGAGTTTCAGCAGCTTGAATTGGGTGACTTGCTGGGGAAGTCGGGCCAGTTTTGGACTTTCACAACCCTGCTGAGCTCCAGATGTTGGTGACTGGCGAGGGGAACAGCTCCGTGGCGACGCACCAGGTGGCCGACGAGAAGAAGATGAAGCTTCAGTTTTGTTTTGGAGATTTAAGTCCCCAGAACTTTCAACGGTGTTGTTCAAATAAGACGGAAGCATCCCAGAGTACTCTGAGCTCCTCCAAGCTGGCATTGAAACATAGTCCTGTCTTAAACCTGAAAAATATGGACCACTTTTTATCCAACTTTCACTAAGTACATTTAAGTGTGATCATTGAACCTTGTTTTGTACCCACTGGCTTCCTGTAGACGAGCTATCATGTGGACGTCTGTGATGTCCTGCAGTCTGTAGCTTGTGGTTACGGCGCCACGGGAGAGGCTCACATCTGTGGACATTGATAAATATCAATATGTGCTATTAAATATGATATTAAACTTGTATATTTCTGCATGGAGTGGAGTAAAATTGCATTATCACTTCACCTGGACTCTCACAGATGTTGTGGGTTGAGCTGACAGATGTTTTGTCCGTAAAGCGGCTCACATTGTGATGTAAAACCGAAGCACCTCTGTAGAAATGGCTGCTTGATCCTGACAAGACAGAGATGATAAAATAATCACACTTAGAAGACTGTGGGAGTGAGTTTGTGCTGCTCGCTTACTTTGATCCAGCCTATTCATAAGTGAGCGACAGGCCGCCTCCATCTCAGGACTTCGGTTATCCAGGACGCGTCGACACCATCTGAGGGCGGACTCGCCTCTCTCCACAAACTCCTGCTTCTTTGGAGACTCATATAACCTGTGAAGAATACCTGCGTGAGATCTACTCTCACGTTAACAACTGATCCGTTAACAAGAGCCCCTGAACGTCTCTCGTAGAGTAATGCGAAAATGTTACAATTTTAAAACATTATCCCACTCATACTTAAATAAGAAATAAATTCTTCTTTGCAGGCAAAGTCCCACTGTGACACGTCATTTCTTTGGATCTGATGCCACTTACCAGCTCTCCTCATCCCGCACATCGTCCTCTACATCAAGGAGCTCCACCGAGTCCAAAGCCGACTCTTCCTCTGCTAACTCTTCCCGATCCCAGAGGTCTTCTACAAAATTATAGTTGTACAACAGCCCGTCTGTGGCCCGGGAGGGCACGGGTGAATTACACCCTGACTTCAAGTTATTGAGTCTTATTCTAGCTTCCATGGCAAAGGAGCGATTGTTACAGCTCTTGGCCTTGGCTTGCTCAGCGTCCTTCCACGCGCTGCAGTACGGATCTGGATTCCCCTCCTGGTTTGACCTTGTGTTAAAGCTCAATAGTTGCAGATTGTAAAAATACGGGCTCCAATCGCTTGACAATTGGTTTTGGAGATCCATTTTTTTTCTATAGATTAAATCCTCTTCTGACTTCTTCAAGCTCTAGTCCAGCTATTTTCATCCCACCTCTCTCCTCCACAGTGAGAATGCCGGCTGGGGCCAAACTAGGATCGGATCAAATCGGGCTAAATCCTCAGCGTCGACAGTGTGAAACATCCAAAGGTTATTTTTCTCTTCAGACCAGCGACAGTGTGGCTTCAGAACGCTATCAACCCAGTTTTGTTGAGTAGGGTTGTTAAGTCTGGTCACCTAACAGATTGCATGGCTTTAGAGAAGCATCAGGAGCTTATGTGGATTAAAGAGTCCACGAGTTGCACCCGAGAAAGAAAAAGAGTCACAGCATCACACCTTCAAAACTACTGTGGCCAACAGGCTATTTATATTTATATTATTTATGTTTATCCGTGTAAAATGTTGCCTTGTTTATGTTAATTGGTACAAAGACGTGTTTTCTCCTTCTCCTTACGTCATCATTTTATGTACGTGTTTGTGTCAATAGCTTTTCGCTGTGTAGTTGTTTCTTTGGCTTTGTGCTATTTTCTGTGTTTGACTGTTTTCAAACGGGAGCCGACCTCACGCCCGCATTACACCCAAGGAAGTACTGAGAAGTGTGATCAGAAATGTTCCCCGCTTTCTCTCTCTCTTTGTGTGTGTGTGTGTGTGTGTGTGTGTGTGTGTGTGTGTGTCTCTCTCTCTCTGTCTCTGCCACACACACACACACACACAGACAGATTAACACAAGATTTTGCATTTTTACCTTTACAGCTATGTGAAACCTATAATTCTCCCTCTTTCTCGTCCACACCCCATTAAGCAGAAGTTTCTGTTTTGTTAACAGTAACTGTGTAACTATATACTATGAACGTATATAGTTATATTGAATCCACTGACATTTACTGACTGGCAGGACATTAGCATGAATTTACTGTAGAATGTCATTTAGGATGTAATTTCTATAGAGTTCATGTCTGGCTTTTCAGACTGATATTCATCAATATACTACGTTTAATATTCAGAAGCCAAAAGGATAAATACATTATTTATAGCATTATCTAATGATGATATAAATTGTCTCAAGCGTTTAAAAATACATCATGATCATGACCTGGTTCTGCCTAAAAAGTAGTCATTTTTCTAAATGAACATTACACCTAATAATGTTATCCATTCAGTTGCTGGTGTCACCCAGCGTTCATACAGATGTCATACTATTGCCCACTTTTATCGTATAATAAAAACACGACACTTATTCTTTCATGATAAAATGTATTATTCGGATACATTGTTTCAAAAGAACCGGAAGTCGGTGGCCGACAGTTCATGAATTGTTATGAAGTGTCTCGCGCCCCCGGAGGACCTACCTTCTATGACTCAACTCTGACGTCATCTCGCACAAAGCCCAGCAGGTAAAGGGGGAGGTGCCTCCTGTGTCCTCTCCGCCCCCTGGGCCGCTTCCTCATGTCGTCATCACCGACCGGTCGAGCTTCTCAAACTGTTAACTTAACACTTACAGCATCGCGGTGCGCTTCTTCCGAGTTGGACATTTCCTGGTTTACCAAAAACAAGGAGACGGGGGGGTCGATGAGTAGTCAATTGAACCGGTGAAGTGACGCCCGTGCCGGCGGTGAGGCAGGGGGCCAGAGAGAGAGAGAGGGAGGGTGGGGTGAGGAGGGGGAGGAAATGCAGGACGTCCACGGAAAAGCAGCGCTCGGGAACCCCGATGCAGCGACAGCGACCCCAGCGCAGGTAAGAGCCGAGGTGATGCAGAATGTCCCCCCAACCAGGTCCCGTGTCCCCTCCCTGCGTGTATGTGAAGAGACTGCCCTCGTGCTGAACTCTTTGGGCTCCAATAGTGGGAGTCAACGCGAAGAGGGGAAAGTTGCTGCTCGCGGAAGGGCAGGTGACGTGATGTCGATGGAGCAGCTCAACCTGTCCGTCCACGTCGGTCTCACCTTTCGCGTCTCACTGCAGGCGGGTGGGATCCACCGCGTGAGCGGCAGATGTGCTCGCGGTCCTCGCGTATCGATGCGAGGGATCTCGTCGTAGTCCGATGATCTCGGTTTGAGTTTTCTCCCGAGCTTTGTGCCATTTACATGTTTGATGCCGATCAGAAAGAAAACAGCAACCAACAAGCTTGACGTAAACATTGCTTTCTTAATGTATTGGTTATTGGCTACATTATTTTATAAAAGTGTATTTACTATTGAAGTAAGTAATTGTTGATGGTAAAAGCTTCAGCAGTAACAGGAGTCCGGGTGAACCGTTTAAATGCTTCAACAAAGTGGTCAAAACTCAATCAATTATTTATATTCCAGTGAATGAGCTGTATTATTCAAACAGTTTAGTTATATTCGTTGGCCCCACTGTCACAGATAATAATCTAGTTATTGGAGGCAGTCAGCTGATATTGGTGCATCTCTGTTCAAGATGATGATGATTGCTGTTGTTTTTCAAGCATTAATACTAATGACATAGTTGCAACTTCTGAAATGGGTTAAATATATGAGTATGTCTATGTTTTGTAAGGTGTGCACTCACCGGCCATTTTAATGGGTAACCTACGATGCAAATCTACCGTTCCACAACATCCCAAAGGCTCTATTGGATTGAGATGTTATGACTGGAGGCCATTGGAGTACAGTGAACTCGTTGTCATGTTCAAGGACCCAGTTTGAGATGATATGAGCTTTGTGACATGGTGCCTCATCCTGCTGGACGGAGCCGTCAGAAGATGGTCCACTGTGGTCATAAAGGGATGGACATGGTCAGCAACAATACTCAAGTAGCCTACAGCATTTAAACAATGCTGAATTACTGAGGGGCCCGAAGTGTGCCGAGATAATATCTCACCCACACCATTACACCACCGCCACCACCAGCCTGAACCATTAATACAACGCAGGCAGGATCCGTGCTTTCATGTTGTTTACGCCAAACTTTGACCCGACCATCTGAATGTCGCAGCAAACCAATCACTGACTCATCGGACAGGCAACGTTTTTCCAATCTTCTATTGTCCAGTTTTAATGACCTTGTGCGAATCGTAGTCTAGTTTCCTGTTCTTGGCTGACGGTCTGGTCTCCTGCTGCTGTAGACGTCTTCTTCAAGGTTCCACGTGCGTTCAGAGATGCTATTCTGCTTAGTTACTGCCTTTCTATCATCTCAAACCGCTCTGCCCGTTTTCTCTGACCTCTCACATCAACACGGTATTTTTATCCACACAACTTCTGCTCACTGGATATTTTCTTTCTCGTCCCATTCTCTGTAAACCTTAGAGATGGTTGTGTGTGAAAATCCCAGTAGATCAGCAGTCTGCGACGTACTCAGACCAGCCCGTCTGCCACCAACAACCAAAGTTTCTCAGATCCCCTCTCAGATCTGATGCTCGGTTTGATACTCAGCAAGTTGTCTTGATCACGTCTACGTGCCTCAATGCATTGATTTGCGGCCATGTGATTGGCTGATTGGACAGATCTTCAATTGCTCTTTTGTAATTTCCTAACTTCCTGTGTCTTACTTTGACATATCTATGCCTCCATGTGTCATACATGTTGAAATATCCTCTTTGTGCATGTGACAAATGGGTATTCGTTGTGACGTCTCTAGAAAGACGTCACAACGAATGCATATTTTCACTGAAATGGCTGTTGTCTTTGTGTCATTGAAGTAATTCAGGAACTATTTATGTTTTATAGATAATTGACAATGACTGCAAAAGTCCATAAAGCAGAAGTCCTGTGTTTATCTTGGTCAAACTTCCTCTCCCGAGACCTGCCGTGAGAAAACAGTTCCTCTCTTCTCTAGAAATGGACAACCTGTGGGGAGGAAGAGGAAGACGTGATCTAGCTGAGTGTTTCATCACTTCAGAAGTTAGATAAACAGACGGGGTAAACCTTGCAAAGAGATTATTTTACAGTTCAAATTAAAGAGCTGCACACACTATTTAAAGTACTGGGTCAGTTCTAATCCTTTTGGAGGTCAATCTACCACCAACCGAGTTCCAAACACCACCGAGTCACAAATTACACTCAGAAAGGTTATTTTGACTGCGTAAAGCTGTCGTATTTACATTGTAACCAGTGAACGTTGGATTCACTTGAACTCAAACAATGATTAATCATTAGAATAGTCATTGGTTTATTTTCTGCCGCTTGGTTAATATAATCAAATATTCACATATTAGAAATATATTCAATTTCTTTATTAATGTTCTTTATAAAATGTGATTTTTTTTTTTATTTACTCTAGAATTCACACCACTGGAACGGGCACACTGTCACTCAAAATGGCAGCAATTCCCCTGCTACGCCTTCGCCCCAGTGGGACTCCAGAGCCCCGAGTCCTGCTCCAGCTGCCGTCATCCCCAGGGAGCAGTGGGGAGGGAAGTACGAGTTCCTGCTCTCCTGCATGGGATACTGCGTGGGCCTGGCCAACGTGTGGCGGTTCCCGTACCTTTGTTATCGCAACGGAGGAGGTGAGCGGCCTGCAAGCTCCTTCGCTGCCCTCTGAGGACTCCAATGCTTTAAATGCCTGCGCGTACCATACGTCCGTTACGATTTGTCACACCCGTTTGGGCAAGAGGCCCCCGTCCGCCGTAACCCTGGGTGTGAGCTGTCCTCCCAATCGGGATGGCAAACTTTCCACGCTCGGCCTGGAGCTCTCCACCGCAGCCTTCAGTGCCGGGAGCCGGAGCCCAAAACCAACGGCTAATCCTAAGGGTTTTCCTTGATTACACACCAGACAAAGGGTCTGAAATCAAACGTGTCGGAGCTTGGAGCGACCGTGGCGCATGGAGTAGAGAGGGTGTGCCAGTAACTGCAGTGGTTAGTGCTCCGTGTCCCCGTAAAGTGTCCCTGAGCAGGACACTGCCCCCTGGGAGCCTTTACGGGAGCACACTGCTCTACCGTGTGGGATACGTTAAATGCAGAGAATAATTCCCTACGGCACTAATAAAGGGTCATTTTTCCTCTTGAATTCCGGTAAAGCTGAATATTATTGGCCACTTAGCCGTAAAGTGTGTTAGTTAACCTGCCTCCTCAGACCGTCTGCATGTTGCTGCGTAAAACAGCCCCACGATTCCTCAACCTGGCAAATGTTTGTATTCCTCACAGGTGTTTTTCTTATCCCCTACTTCATTATGCTGTTTGTCACGGGTGTTCCCCTGTTCCTCATGGAGCTGAGTTTAGGCCAGTACGGAGCAGCCGGCCCCATCACGGTGTGGAAATGCTGCCCTCTGCTCAAAGGTAACAGGCCTCCTGTATCATTATGCTGTTGATCTTATTGTTCCTCCACTTACAGGCACTGTAATTCAGCGACTCCGCCTTTAAGCCTTTTAGGGATGGGCTCACCAGGGTGTTGGCTCAATATAATTAGCAAGACAGTGTAACATGTTATGGAACAGTTGCAACTCAGAATAGATTTTTTTGGAATGGAAAGTGATGCACTCTGAGGTGTTTATGAAACTGTGAAAGTAGAAAGTAGTTTCTGCTGCCACTTTTTACTGAAATAAGCCATCGATATCCTTACCAGTGATGTATATCCAGTGTTTCTCTGAGAGGCTGAAGGCTTGTGTCTCATCCCGTAGGTATCGGCATTGGGATGCTCTGTGTGTCCACCCTGGTGTGTCTATACTATAACGTCATTATAGCGTGGACGTTTTACTACCTGGGCAGCTCGTTCCAGAGCCCTCTGCCCTGGTCCTGTGATGCTCCGGCCAACGTGGGTCTCTGTGGAAACGGCACCGCTCGTAATAGCTCCACTGGTGAAGGCCTCAGTCCCACAGAAAAATTCTGGAAGTAAGTTTTTATTTGTGAAAAAGCCTCTTCTCTGTTTTAAAAAAAATTACACGCATATTATAAATATAAATGCTAATGTTTTAAAGCAACAGTTGCAGGTTGGTAATATTTTCAAGAGTCCCAGATAATCAGGTCTCTGAATACATGTTGCTGCCACAGTGGCTCTTTGACAGACTAATTTGAGGTTTGTGTGCTCTGCTGTGAATACTTTTTAATGGCCCCGTTGGGGATTGGTTAAATTAAATAAACTGACTTGCACTAAAGTGAATTAAATTGAACTGAGAAAAGTTAGGCAGCACAAAGAGAACAGAAACAACCTCTGTGTTGGCAGAACATCTCAAATGAATTGTGTGGCACTAGAGGACCGTCGGATCAGATTAAGTACACCAACGCTTCTAATGACGGACCGACTGTTAATGAATACATATGTTGACACCTGCCACGTAATGGAGTAATGTAGAGTGCTACGCCTGATGCTTTCACTGACACTCAGTTATTAATGAATCCAGCTTAATGACCGGCCCCCGTGAATTTTAAATCGTGGCAGCAGGTATGGTGAGGGGTCTGCTGTTTTACATGCTTTTGCTTGGCCTGCGTGTCTCGTAGTGAGCGAGTGCTGGGTGTAGCATACAGTGAGGGCCTCCACGACCCGGGCCCCGTCCGGTGGCCCCTGGCTCTGTGCCTCCTGGCCGCCTGGATCATCATCTTCCTGTGTATACTCAAGGGCATCCGCAGCTCTGGCAAGGTGAGCCAACACAAAGTTGTGATTGTCCGCATGCGACAAAGCACACACACACACACCCCAACGGGCCCAATCTTTGCTGCCGTGTCGTGTCTAATGCGTCTGTGCCGATCGGTGCTTTCAGGTTGTTTACGTGACGGCCACCTTCCCGTACTTGGTGCTCATTGTTTTGATCATCAGAGGTGCTACACTGGAGGGCTCCCTCCAGGGCATCGCCTTCTACCTCACACCCGACTGGAGCCGATTAGCCAATGCACAGGTACCCGGGATGGTAGACGAGCACACGAGGCCCGGCGGTCTGTTTGTCGCCGCTTCGTAGAGAACGATATTTTAACGCCTGTTTCTGTCGGATTTACCGCAGGTGTGGAATGACGCGGCATCACAGGTATTTTACTCCTTAGGTATCGGCGTCGGAGGGCTGCTTTCTATGGCATCTTACAACAAGTTTGACAACAATGTCATCAGGTTTGTACCCTGATGGACCATCTGCTCCTTGGTAGCGTCAGTGATGAGTTCCGTCTCTTATTTGTGCTCCTTTTGGTTTCAGAGACACTTTGATTATCACCGGAGGAAACTGCTGCACTAGTTTCTTTGCAGGATTTGCTATATTCTCAATCCTGGGTCACATGGCGTGGAAGAAGGGGGTGCCTGTCGGGGAGGTGGCAGATTCAGGTAGCAAATTTACTCATTTTGTTCAACATACCATCTTTATTTTGGACTTTCCAGACCGACACAATTAGGCATTTTGAACAAAATCTGAAACATAACTGCACTTCCGAATCTGAAAATAACATTGAAATGTTTCCAATTTGTCTTCACATGCTCCATTTCTTTGTGTAAAATGGCCTCAATTACAGAGCAACTCCACATTTTAACCTAATTACTACAAATAATTGAATGCATTTTGTATTCCACGTTTGTGTACGTATATATTGCCTTCTTGACCCCGATGAATAACTATTGCTGTCAGGTCCGGGGTTGGCCTTCGTTGCCTACCCAGAGGCCCTTGCTCTGCTGCCAGGATCTGCATTCTGGTCCATTTTGTTCTTCCTCATGCTCTTTATGCTGGGGATCGACACACTAGTAAGACCGCATATCACGTTAGCGTAAAGCCATCATCAGAAATAAAGCTGCACGAGTCTCCGGATGATTGATACCTTCTGCTCTGCTGCTTCACAGTTCGGCAACATGGAGGGCATCACTGCGGCCGTGCTGGATGAGTTTCCGCACCTCAGAACCAACACGCTGCACAAGTCTCTCTTCCTGGGCGCTCTGTGTTTCAGCTTCTACTTAATGGGTCTCCTGTTGGTGACTAATGTGAGTGCGTTACGCTGTAATATGTGATGCTTGAGGCTGAAAATGCCTCTTTAACCCATCTGAAATCCCCCTTTGCCGTCTGTGTCTTCACAGGGAGGGATTTATTGGTTCACTCTCATTGACTCCTTCAGCACTAGTTTCGGCCTCATCATCATCACCCTCTTCATGTGCATTGGCATCTCCTTCTTCTACGGTAGCTCTTCGCACACCCTTAACCTTCCCATCAAACTCCCCTAACGCCACATCATTGCTCTGTATGAGTTAGATACTCAGCACTGTTTTAACTGATACAAATCACATAAGTTTACCTCCGCCAAGAAGGTTATGTTAGGTCTTCGGCTTGCTTTTCAACAATTGTTAAAAAAATACAACTACTGGCTAGATTTTAATGAACATGTTGGAAGGGTACAGCATGGCCTAGAGAAGAACGTATTACATTTTGGAACAGATACGGATAGTCATAACTTTTCCCTTCTGGTGACAATGTGATGTTTTTGTTATTGTTTGTACCATTTTGTTATCACATTGAACCCATGCTGTGTTGTCCTACTGATATTTTCCAGAGTTCCTAACGCAAAACCTTTATTCACCATTTCTGTTAGGAGTCAATCAGTTTTGTCAGGACATTATTGACATGGTCTGCCCCTGCCCTGCCTGGTGCCTCAAAGTGCTGGTTTACTTCAAAGCATGCTGGGTTTTCTTCACTCCGTTTCTCCTGCTGGTGAGTTAGTAGATCCTAGAACAATGTGACGTGGTTATCCGTTGTCAGTATCACATGCTTTTCAGAATTTTTCCAATAAACTTCCATGAATTCAGTTGCCACATTGTGTTTTCTAAAATACACAAAATGAAAAGTACTGAAGAAGCATTTGTAACCATATCAAGCTCATATTCTAATGACAGTATGGCAGGTTTGCAACAGCTGCACAAACCACCTGTATTTTTTCTCTTACTGCAGACGCCGGTTTACCATTTACAGCAATGCAACCTTTAAATGTACCATATTGTTTCTCTTACCGTAAAATATCCCATTAAATAACTAAAGAGTTTCTATTAAACTAAGTGAGAACAAAAATGATAACTCATTACCAAATGCTGTGCAATATTCCAACGGAAGAAAACTTAACATCACTGCTGTGAACGAAACTAACTGTGCTGG